CAAACAAAAAGCTGTTCCTTATTTGCCTTGACATGTGGATGACAGCCAACTATAAATACATTATATAATGTAATAGAAAACTGTTTATTCATGACTGCTTAAGTGGTGAAACCACATACATCAGAGGTTCTCAACCATTTTCTTTCTGAGGCACCCTCAACATGCTATAAAAACTCCATGGCCCACCTGTGCCACAACTACTATTTTTTTGCATATAAAAGCCAGGGCTGACATTAGGGGGTAGCAAGTAGGGCAATTGCCTGGGGCCACACGCCACAGGGGGCTCCCGCAAACCTAAGTTGCTCAGGTTTCAGCTTCAGCCCAAGGTGGCAGGGCTCAGGGCCTCAGGCTTCATCCCCATGAGGTGGGGCTTCGGCTTTCTGCCCTGGACTCTAGCAAGTCTAACATAGGCCCTGCTTGGCAGACCCTCTGAAACCTTCTCGCAACCCCCCAGAGGACCCCAGACTCCTGGTTGAGAACCACTGCACTAACCTACCTCTGAGCAAGGGGGAGTGGGCAAGAGATCAGCTCAATGATTTAGTGTGCCATTTCTTCCTTATCCTTTTCACCTTTCTGTCTCCATTTCCTTATTGGTGATCACTGGAGCTAGCTCTTTGCTAGTGACCACAATGCAATCCTGCACCTTTCTCTCTCAGGCTCATCAATATGGGGGCAAGATTCTCTCCTAATAAACTTTTCCATGGTTCATATTTTGCTGAATTTCAACTCATTAGTCTTGCATCCATTACAATGGGTCTGGGGAAGTTAGGGATGAGTTCAGGACTATTTTCTCATGTCTAAACTGGGGCTCCAGCACAATTTTACTGCCTCATTTGCAGACTGCCAATCAATATTTAGCCTAGGCAGAAGTGTTTGGTTCTTTTACCTTAACTACAGCAGAACCTCCATCACATAATTCACACACATACACCTAACACCAGCTCCAATTCTCATCAAAGCTCAAACAGACATTATAGCAAGGTCTCCGATGATATAATCATTGTAACTTATGGGCTATACCTGCAGAATACTTACTAGCGAGCTAGTCTTAAAAATTACACTATACTTTCCTGGTATTTTGTAATGTATCCTGCTTGTTTATTTGCTCACTTACTCAGCTGAGTAATTAGCAAGATCTCCTAGCTAGCAGCGTGAATTACAGTATATAGTTCATCTTGATTTGCTCACAAGAAGTGACTGCCTTACAAAAACACTACCACCCAAACCCTTATGGAAATAGCCATAACTACTCATTCGAAACATTTCCCTCCCGTCCCCCATTATGAAAGCAGCAACACAGAACACGAGTGAAGTTAACGTGACCCGCACATCGGATGGTAGAGGGAGGATGTTGCACTACCAAAGTGAGAGACTATCATGTCATCCCCCAGGCCCTGCTGTGCTGAACATTGCTCACTCAGCCTCACCTTTGTGATCCTTTAAGCTCCTGGTCTCGAGGGCTCCTGTAGAGCCAGTTTCAGATTCCACGTCCTCCACCGAGGGTCTCTCAGAGATGTCTGATCGTGTTGTCTCATCCAGCTCCTGACTAGCTCTCTGTCCTGAGAATGATGCTTCCAGCAGCTGGGATGGCTCAGTGGAACTCTGCGGGTGGTCGCACATGCCTGCCATTATGGAGTATCCATGCATGGTGGCCTCCATAGATGCCGCATAACCAAGAGAAAGTGCCATTTCATCTTGGGCAATTGGTACCTGAAGGGGATGCAAAAGTCAAACAGACAGAAGTTGAGAGTTAAAATTCACAAATTAGCTTAGTCTCCATTGGGCCATCTCCTCCCCTCCTTAAAAATAAAGAGCTTAAGCCATTCTTACTAATTCTCCCATCTAGAGGCTAATGAGCTTCTGGGGCCTGGAAGGAGAGGAGAAGCTACAGAGTTATATTTCAAAACACTGAACTGCCCCATGAAAGGAACATCACGTGGGACTCAGTCTCAGGACGGATGGGCTTTGCGCACGTTCTTAAGCACTGTGAAACCCCATGTTTTGATTCTCAAGCCTTTCAAGTTCTGTTTCCTCAGAGGAGCCAATGCCCCAGTGTAGTGCTAGGAGAGTGTATATTTGTATAGTTGCCATTATTTGGCAAGAGATATTTGAAGTGCGTGGATCTCATAGCACAGCATGGTTCTCCTCCTCCGTCCTCCAGCCAGGGACATCTGGCTAAATCCCATTCCCAGTCTCTAAATCCCCCATAAAGTTTCTACTGGACACTGCATCATCTTCACTAACTTTCTATCCTACTGCTGTGACCTACTGAACCCCCAAAGACAGTTGCATTTCAGTGATGGCAATGTGCTTTGAGATCCTTTGTGGGGTGATGCTACATGACTGCAGGTCATTATTCAGCACAAATAGATTCCTTTGTATATGGGGTCCCCTGCAGGGCCAAGCATCATGATACCCATACCTCTATTAACAACCCTCAGTACACAACTTTGGGGGAGAGCTCCCAGATCACCAGTTACCTTGGAAACTCCTGAGATGATAAGTGTGCTGCGTTTTGTAGGGGTCTTCTTGGCAGATTTGTTATTCGTTTCAGTCAACTGCCTGATTGCTGTCTCGGCCACAGGATCCAAACCATTGGACATGTGACTGTCCCCTGAACACAAAAGAGGAAACAACCCCCGGACATGATTGCAGCGCTCCTGAGCTGAGATAAGTCACCTCCAGACTGAGATGCATTACCAGTGGACAAAGTGTATGGGGGGGGAGGGGGCGGGAAAACGGGCCCAAGAAGAAGAGTTACCACAGCCTTTCCTGATTGACCTGCATGATGCTGGAGAAGGAAGTCTTGCAAGAATTGACAGCTGAACTGAAAGACTTAAAAATTCAGAGTCCCAGCCACTCATGGCCATCAAAGTTCCCCTAGAACTTCTTGTAAATTATTAGGAGTTTGGTTGCTTGTGCCCTGGCACAGATTACTGACTCTGGTAATTCCACTTTGCCTCCTTAAATCCACCATGCAATTTCAAATGGATGTGAGATTCTGCTTCACTTCCTGTCCTAAAGATTTGTTGTATACTGTTAAACAACTGGTGTTTTCTATCTCAGAGGTGAGAAGCAATCCATGTGCATACAACCTGTGAAGCACTTTGGGATGAGATGTCTTACAGACATGCAAGATGGATGACAGGGTGTCTGGAGGTGTGGAAGGAAATTCGGGAGTGTAGTAGAAACAGAGCCTGAGACATGAGGCTTAGTATGAGGGGTTTGGTTTAAGGTCTAAAGCTTGAACTAAAGTCAGGCCCTGCTGAGATAAACGGTTACCTGCCTTTCATAACTGTTGTTCTTCTTCGAGATGTGTTGCTCATGTTCATTCCAAGTAGGTGTGGAGCCCCCTGGAGTGGCGCAATTATGGTGGCGAATATAGGTCTCTGCCAACCTGCCGCTCTTCAGTTCTTCTTGCCCGACACTCCAACAGAGGGGAGGCAAGTGGGTCTTGGAATAGACATGTTTTTTGAGAACATTCTTAGGAGCCGGCGACTGTCTCGCCGAGCCTTGGCCCTGGGTAAAGGAGGAGAGGCCTTCTCCTATTACTCCTACCCCACCTCCTGTTATAGTCTTGCCTCGGCCGAGATGGGTAGAAGCGAGGCAGGGGCTGAGGCTTAAAATGCTTCTTTTGTGGGGCTGGCGTATGAAACCCCAAGGACTTTAAGGTCGCTCTAGTCAGGGGTGGGCAAACTACTTCCCGTGGGCCACATCCGGCCCGCCAGCAGTTTTAAGCTGGTCCTCGAGCTCCCTCTGGGGAGTGGAGTCTGGGGCTTGCCCCGCTCTGGCGCTGTGGCACTCCAGCTGGGGAGCAGGGTCGGGGGCCGCTCCACGCAGCTCCCAGAAGCGGCAGCATGGCCCCGCTTCAGCTCCTACTTGTAGGGGCAGCCAGGGGACTCCACGCTGCCGCTGCCCGCACAACTCCCATTGGCCAGGAACAGCAGCCAATTGGAGCTGCAGGGGTGGCGCCTGTGGACAGGGCAGTGCGCAGAGCCACCTGGCCAGGGCTCCGCGTAGGAGCTGGAGTGGGAACATGGCCGCTGCTTCTAGGAGCCACTTGAAGTAAGTGCCGTTCGAAGCCTGCGCCCCATAGCCTCTCCCAGCACCCCAACCCCCTGCCCCAGCCCTGATCCCCGCCTGCCCTCCAAACCCCTTGGTCCCAGCCCAGAGCACCCTCCTACATCCCAAACTCCTCATCTCCAGGCCCACCGCAGAGACCGCACCCCAGCCGGAGCCCTCATCCTGCCCCCGCCCCACCTGCAGCCCTTCCTGCACCCTGAACTCCTCATTGCTGGCCCCACCCCGGAGCCCGCACCCCCAACCACAGACCTCAACCCCTCCTGCACCCCACCCTAATTTGTGAACATTCATGGACCACCATACAATTTCTATTCCCATATGTGGCCCTCGAGCCAAAAAGTTTGCCCACCCCTGCTCTAGAGTCCTTGAGTCTATAGAGCTTAGAGTCCGTCTGCTCAGTGAAGAGACCTGCACCATCGAAGGGCAGGTCCTGTACAGTTTGTTGGACCTCCGGGGGGAGGCCCGAGACTTGTAGCCATGAGCTGCATGGCAAGACAATAGCTGTGGACATTGTACGGGTGGCAGAGTCCGCTGAGTCTAATGCGGCCTGTGAGGAAGTCCTTGCAATGGTCTTGCCTTCCTCCAGGACCTCCCAAAAGTCAGAGTGGGCATCAGATGGAAGTAGCTCCTTAAACTTGGACAGGGAGTTCCAATAGTTAGAACTATAGCAGCTAAGAACCGCCTGCTCATTAGCGATTTGAAGTTGGAGCCCCCCGGTGGAATAGACCTTACGGTCGAAGAGATCCAGCTTCTTTGCCTCTTTAGATAGACTTTGGAGTGGGACCCTGGTAACCCTGCCTTTCCTTGGCGTTGGCTGCATCCACGACCAGTGTGCCCACCTGAGGCTGGGTGAAAAGGTATTCGTACCCCTTAGAGGGTACAAAGTACTTCCTCTCCACCCCTTTAGCCGTGGGATGAATGGAAACAGGAGTGTGCCAGGGTCTTGGTAGTATTGTGGATGGTCTTGATCAATGGCAAGGCCATCCTGGAAGGACCTTCTGGCATCAGAATGTCCACAATAGGGTCCATTTCGTCTCACACCACCTCCGCTTGCAGGTCAAGATTTTGGGTTACTCTTCTGAACAGCTCCTGATGGGCTCTATTGGCCAAAGCCGGTAAGGAGACAGACAAGCCTGCTACTGCCTTGTCCAGGGAGGAGGATGAAACAGCCCTCATTGGCATGGGGTCCTCCTGACCTTCCAACTCATGGCGGTCTTCTAGTGCAGGTACTTCCTGCGCAGTAGCAGATGGGATGCTGGATGCAAACTTGGTGCCGAGTTTGGTGCCGGCCCGGGTGCTGGTCTCGGAACCCCTTGGAGGTTCCCTCACCGTGGAGGCAGATGGAGGTCCCAGTCTGTCCGAGGCAACCGAAAGAGACCTGGAGCTTGGCCCTTGGGCTTGATGATGCACCCATGGGGTCACTGAGTGGGTGCCTGTCACCGTGGTGGCCAGGGCATCATCAGAAGTTGCTGGGTCTCGTTATGCCTGGAGCGACAAGACCGGTGCTGGCTGCATCTGGAGACATACGACTCCAGCTCAAGGTCTGATCTCAGGCTCCACAGCGGTGGCATGTGGGACAGTGCCGGTGATCGGTGCTGGCAGCCTCAAATGTGTCAGGAGTGGACGGCATGTTCAACTCCCCGATTTAGTTCTCCCGTCCCAAGGAGTCCAACAGAAATGGACTCAATGGTTCCACCTGGGCAGCCGGAGTCAGTGGTACCAGGTGCCCCTGAGCAGGAGTTGAGTGCCCGGACGTGGGATGCAGTCTGCGGGCACCCTCGCACTGCCCTGCTCAGACTGTTGGCGAGGGCCCCCTTTCAGCTCTTCTCTGCTTCTTATGCGGCACCGGCAAGTGAGATTGGTGCTGAGAAGTTGCCAAACTTGTCTTCGGTTCCGGAGAGTGTTGGTGCCCCGGGTCTCTGGACCGGTGCTCTCCACACCAAAGTGCTGGGCTTGGATCCCAACGCAGTCTGAGCCAGCTGGGGATGGAGAGCCGACTCCATAAGAAGATTAAGTCTGAAGTTCCTTTCCTACTCAGTCCTAAAGATCTTGCACTTGTAGGTCTGGTGGGCTTCCCCCAAGCAGGAGTCGTGAGGATCTCCCTGGGCATAGATTTGGCAAGACCCGCAGGATTTGAAGCCTTGAGACCGAGGCATGCCCCAGTCCCCGGACGGGAGTAGGAAAAATAGGGGGTAGGGGTAACCCCCAACAGAAACTTATCTATGAACTAACTAACTAACTATATAGGCTACAAGAACAACTGTTTGCTAGGAGAAGAGCTTGCCCAAGGCAAGAGAACAAAGCAGCTCCAACGACCGTCACTGGTGCATCTGAAGAAGTGAGATTTTTTTACCCACGAAAGCTTATGCCCAAATAAATCTGTTAGTCTTTAAGGTGCCACCGGACTCCTTGTTGTTTTTGTGGATCTAGACTAACACGGCTACCCCCGATACTGGTGGTAAGAAGGAACTGAAGAGGCGGTGGGTTGGCAGGGACCTATATTCACCGCCATAAGGGTGCCACTCCAGCGAGCTCCACAGCTGACCCGATGGGTAGCGCTAGGGGAAAACCTTCCGATGATTGTGCACACGGCGCACACACACCTACTTGTAATTGACATGAGCAATCACTCGAAGAAAACAAAGTTTGCAAGAGTCAACCTATGAGCAGAAATCAGGTTCACAAAACCTGGCAGAAATAGGGCTGGTATTGCAAAAACCACAAGCACTTCTTGGCACTAAGTATTCACGTAAACATATTCCAGAAGGTTAGTGCCAGAACACCTCAATACCAAGATATGGTGTAAACACATTCCCCGAAGATGGCACAGGGACACACTGGCCCTCTTAAAGATAAGGTCAGGACGACAGCAGTGATGGACAGAGATGCTTTGATCTAACCAACATGTACAAGGTAAAGGGTGGTAACTAACCAAGTCAGAAGGATAATAGGTAACTTGTTTGTATCAGTGTGTAAAGGGTGGGGGGGGGGGTCGTCAGAAGGGGTGTCTGTCTGGCTGAGGAGGGGGGAATGGCAAGTTCCGCCATTCACTGAGCTAGTCCATTGTAACGGGAATACATGCATTAGTGGTCCTGTAGAGTCTATGGGATATTAGGACTGTGCTTCATCAACAATAAACCTGGCTGAACGTCTTTCCTACAGAAGAGTGTCTCTTTTTTGGCAGTTCTATCGAGATCTGCTGTGTCAGCTATCTGTGCAGAGCTGGGACAGCATGTACACATGCAACCAACAACTGACAACAAGGAATAGAGGGTTGGGTTTTTAACTAATCCACTCTTCCCCTTAGAGTAACTCAGGAAATTTGCTTCAATGATCATGAAGAACTCTAGGTTTGGAATGCAGAACCATATGGAACATTCTAATCCAAGAGGCTCCTCCTGCAGTGGACACAGTGGGGCCATGAGGATGAGCTGCATTTGGCCACTGCTGATGAGTCTCACCAACTCAATCCTGTGAAGGAGGAGAGAGCTCCTTTGTTCCAGATTAAGATCTAAGTTTCCTGTGCACTTACAGCTGTTGCTGGGTGAGGCACTGCTGGGACAGCTGCTCTCTGAAAGCCTTGTTGTCGTCTTCTCTGTCACTTCCACTTTGGATGGGGATCTCGACGGTGAATCTAGACTCAAAAAGGAAAGAGAGGCACAAAGTTAAGAAAGAAGAAGAGGAAGAGGAGCCGGGCCACAGCTGAGGTCACCTGCCTTTTGAGGAGGATGAAATGAACTCACCATTTCCCCATACAAACACAGGGAGGTGAACTCTTTGGGGGACTCCATTGGACCCCTTACATCCAGCAGGACTTGATTACCAAAAAACACACATTGAGAGGGGTGATCTCCACCAGAGATGAGACAAATGTAGCAGCCCAGACACTGGATCTAGCATACCCTGCTTCCCCACCCCATCCCATGAAATATTTTTAAACAGTGACACCAGGGAAGCAAACTGCAGATCTCCTCTTCAATCCACCTGGAATCCCAGCCAAGAAATGTGCCAAGCAAAGGGATTCTTACCATCCCACAGCAGGGTGGAAGGGGATTTGGGTCTGTCAAATAATAATATGTAGTTAATGGAGATATCCCATCTCCTAGAACTGGAAGGGACCTTGAAAGGTCATCGAGTCCAGCCCCCTGCCTTCACAAGCAGGACCAAGTATTGATTTTCCCCAGATCCCCAAGTGGCCCCCTCAAGGATTGAACTCACAACCCTGGGTTTAGCAGGCCAATGCTCAAACCACTGAGCTATCCCTCCCCCCTGTGCTCTGTGCTGACAAATTAACCTCCCAAAACACATGTGTTCAGTATTATCCCCATTTTACTGACAAGGAAATTGAAGCAGAGAGGGGGAAAAGTGATTTGACTAAAGTCGTATCAAAAGCCAAAAACAGAGCAGGGATTAAAACCCACATCTCCAGACGGCCTTTATCAAGTGTGGTCAAAGAGGCTTATCATCATTTTACATTTACCTCCCAGTGTTAGCAAAGTGCCAACAGTGTCCTCCAAGGGTACAGTGAGATTCCCCACGTGTCCCTAGCCTCTGTTTGCCAGAAACTGGGAATGGGTGACAGGGGATAGATCACTTGATGATTCCCTGTTCTGTTCTTTCCCTGTGGGGCACCTGGCATTGGCTGCTGTCAGAAGACAGGATACTGGGCTAGATGGACCTTTGGTCTGACCCAGTATGGCCGTTCTTACAGTCTTAAGTAGCTCGTAGGAAGTTAAATAGCAGTGCTATCCCCACCATCTCCACTTGCGATGCCAACAGCAACCCTTCTTCCCTGCTGCAAAAGGAGCAGATTGCAGGGATTGCTGGATCTGACTGCAACAAAATTTAGCTATGTACCACAGAGCTAGACACCTGCCCCTGTATGAAGTCCTAATCGGTCCTTACCCAGCTTACAGTCCACCTTGGGCCTGGACTGGACGGTGGTGACAGTAGTCACAATGGTGCCATCAGGCATGATGGTACGGTCCATTTCGATTTTTTTGGTGGGGGTGATGCTGGTGCGCAGTGATGCGGCATACTGGGGATTCGGGGACAAAGGAGACTCGTGGTAGAGCAGCTTAAAAGAGAACAGGATGCAAATAAGTCATGGAGAGTCTACCTTTGGTGACTCCCCAGGTGAGAAAGGCTGTAAAGGCCTAACTTCCACTCAGAGCTCACGTGGTGAGAGGACTCATGTGAGCTTGCACAGAGCAGTAATCTATGACCCCAGAGCTTTAGACTGCTCTTCAGTTACTTACCGAGAGGCACAACCCACTATCCCCTTCCCCCACCCGCATCTTTTCCTTCCTCCCCAGTCACACAAGCAGCTTCTAAGCCTCCTCTTTTAGCTGCTAAGCCTACAGTGTCGAAATCAGAGAGTGAGCCTGGATCCCACTGCTGTGCACTGAATGTCCTAACTAACATCACTATCAGGGAAGTGATAGCTGCATAAGCAGCTTCATCAGGCCAGAAAGAAAATATGTCCCTTGTTATATCACATTGTCCTCGAACCAGGAAGGCCAGCCATCCACCATCCATTACCACTACTCCTTCAGTTAGCTGTAGGGAAGCTAGAGAGTAAAGGAGAAGGCAATACCAGTCTTCACTCTAGAAGCTTCGTTTGCTGCCACTATATCATTCCCAGATCCTGAATTCCAGTTCCCTGTGGAGTGACCTGTCATCTAGACAGCACTTCCCTGGAAGAACACTTCACAGCTCTTCATAGGTCATATGTTTACCTCCAGTGTAAGGGTAGCCGCAGGTGGCAGCAGCTGCCCAGCTCCTGGGGTCAGGGAATAGATCAGCCTCCCAGATGGCTGTTTGCTGCAGGAGTCAAGTGAAACAGCAGTATGTCCCAAAAGCACATCTGTGAGAGGGAGAACAAACTCAGCCCAGAAACCCCCAAAAGCCCCTTTTGCCTTTGGGGACCTAACTCCATGCCCCCACAAGGCAGCCTCAGAGTTGCAGTAGCTCCTTAACCACAGGAGGGCTCAATGGGGCCTTATGCTTGTACTACGCCACAAACCAATTGAGAGGCTCCTCATTCTGTGAAAATAAGGTGGAGTTTTGCAAGTTCCTTCAAATTCAGGTCCTGCAACTAGTGCATAGCTTAGTGCAACTGATCCGAAATCAGACTGCTCTCTGTAATACTCATCTGGCATCGAGTAGCATGCCCCGCTCCCCTTTTCAGCCAGAACATGCAATGGCTTGGTGGTGTCTGGGCATCAGAAGAGTGAAAAGGAAAGCATCTGGCCCAAAATCTAGGTTTGAAGATGTCAAACCTGAGAACTATAGTAAGTGTTTTTCATGAAGTCAAAGGTTGGGTTGGTATGTGAACATTCCCTGCAGAATTTGCAACCCAAACATTCTGGCATTGCACTAAGACACTCTGTTTTCAATATGTGGGTCTTATGAACTGACCAGCCTTTTTCCAAGGAGACGATTTCATGATCTTTTCACTTGTAAAGATCTCAGGGGCTGTTATAACACCAGGAATTACTCTTGAATCCTGTGATTTTGAGCCTTACTGGATCCTGTTTATGGCTGATCATACTCACTCTCCCCACCACTGCTGTTCCCCAGTACTCTCAGCTTCAACTCTTTACTTCGTGGCCCCAGCTCCCTGCCAAGATAGAAACAGAAGGATTGGTGCTCGGCACATGTCAAAAGACTTCCATCCAAGAACTCCTTTCCTCTGACTGACCCTATTCCTCACCCACCTCCACCTCTTCACAGGGCCCAGAATTTAGTGCACATTTTTTTGTGTGGATGATGATAGAAGAGAGCTCCTGCTCCAAATGTGAGGTGCACTCGCACAGCTGCAAAGAACACATGGGGAGGTAGAGCAGCAGTGCTACAAATCAGAAGTGAAATTATTATCTGAATTGGGGTGCACTAGGAAAACAGCATGGGTACTCAGGATGGGAAGAGCAGGGATATGAACACTAACTTCTCCCAATACAAAGGAATTCGCATCTAGGATAGTTGGCATCTGAAACATACCCATCCCTAATGAAACCCAGAAACCTGGCACACTGGCTGCAACCCTCCCTTAGCTGAAAAAGCAAACACCAGCTCCTTACAGCATGAGCTCCTCATTCCACTGCACCGCTGCGGCAGCGCTGGAGATGCTTGCTCTCGCTGGCTTTGTCCATTTCTGCTGCAGAGGACTGTCTAGCTCGGCTACACAGCATAGCTTCCCACCTCCTGGGATAGAGAGAACAGATCAGAGGAAATGGAAATGAGGACGAGAGGACTGGAATTCTACAGTGTGAATTATTAGGATACTGCTCAGCATGCTGGCATCCCTCCAGCCCAAACCTGGAAGACCATCAGAGCAAAGTGTCTTTTCATCCTCTGAAGTCAAACACACTTACATCCCCTCCCCCAAAGGTCAACTGGTTTCTCCCTTCTTACCTCCTTCCTCCTCACAGCTCAAGTTGAGCACCTGCATATGCCGGAGAAGCAACTTGGACACCGTAGGGGCCACTATATTAGATGTGGACTCTTGGGACAGTTTTTCACAGGACATCTGAGGAACAAAATGGGAGGTAGACAGATCAACGATGCCCAACTGAAACACCCCCACTAATCCCTTTCCCCAACCATAAGATTGGAATAAGGGGCCACAGCAGGCCAGATGGGAACATTAAAAGAGAGGACATAGCCCAGTGAGAAGGAAGAGGCTGAATAACCCCAATCAACAAAATGCAGTGCTGACGATTATGATATGCATTCCTGATTGCCCTGTGGCAACTCATGGTATCTGGCAGGAATACAGCAGAGAAGCCACTCATGAACCTGAGCTGGTCCCACAGCAGCTCACAGCCTATTAACCTGTGGAGGAGTCTGCACAGGGAAGTGACTATGGGAGCACCATTGCTTAAGACATTGTAAAGCAAACAGAGGAATTGATTATAGGGAACAAGTCTGCACTGCCTATGGAGGATGGGTGAAATAAGTCAGACATCCTATTAGCTTGTTAATTACTGTTTCTGTGTGGTCTCCTCTGCACTCACCTGCACATCCAGTCCCCACTCTTCAGCCCAGATTCCATTTCCTGTGTTCCTTTAACACTCTAATACAGGGGTGGGCAAACTTTTTGGCCCGAGGGCCATATCTGGGTATAGAAATTGTATGGCAGGCCATGAATGCTTACAAAATTGGGGTTGGGGTATGGGAGGGGGTGCGGGCTCCGGGGTGGGGCCAGAAATGAGGAGTTCAGGATGCGGGAGGGGGCTCCGGGCTGTGATGCGGGGGGTGAGGGTTCTGGCTGCGGGCACGGGCTCTGGGATGGGGTTGGGGATGAGGGATTTGGGGTGTAGGAGGGTGCTCCGGGCAGAGACCGAGGGCAAGAGGGGGATTAGGGCTGGGACAGAGGGTTGGGGCACAAGGGGTGAGGGTGAGGGCTGTGGGTGCAGGCTCTGGGGTGAGGCTAGGGATGAGAGGTTGGGGTGTAGGAGGGTGCTCTGGGCTGGGATCAAGGGGTTTGGATGGTGGCGGAGGGGGAAAATCAGGGTTGGGGCAGTGCTTACCGCATGCGGCTCCCGGAAGCAGCGGCATGCCCCCTCTCTGGCTCCTACGCGGAGGTGCAGTCAGGCGGCTCTGCTGCACGCTGCCCCATCCACAGGCACCGCTCCCACAGCGCCCATTGGCTGCGGTTCCCAGCCAATGGGAGCTGCGGGGGAGGTGCATGGGGCGGGGGCAGGATGTGGAGCAGAGCCCCCTGGCTGCGCCTCCGCGTAGGAGCCGGAGGGGGGACATGCTTCTGCTTCTGGGAGCCTTGCAGAGCGCCCCCCGACCCTGCTCCACAGCTGGAGCACCAGAACAGGGCAAGCCCCAGACCCTGCTCCCCAGCAGGAGCTCATGGGCCCGATTAAAATGACTGGTGGGATGGATGCGGCCCGGGGGCCGTAGTTTGCCCACACCCGCTCTAATAGATATGTGTGAGCCTGCCAGTGATCCTCCTCAATTCCCATTGCTTTCAAGGCATACAGGGAAAGAAAAGAGGATTACCAGACATCAGACCAATGTTCTAATCTAGTCTGGTTTCCCATCTCAAAGCGGCCAACATCCACTATTTCAGAAGAAGGTAGAAAAAGCCTATAATAGACAGTTATGCATTTAACCCATAGGGGAAGTTTCTTCCTAATTCCTGGCAGTTAATAGCCATTTTATGTCCTGAAAAATGAGTTAAAAGCCATGTAGTTTTAATCCCAGTAGTATAATGGAGAGTATTACCCTCTCCAAACACATCTAACGCTTTTTGATTCTTGCCATGCTCTCAACCTTGGTAAGCTTGTTGCAAGATCAGGCTAATCAGGCTGAAAATGAGGAGAGTCTTACCACATTACTACCAGCAGTGCATGCCTTCAGATTCACCATCATGGCAGGCTGGGTGCTGACAATCGAGTCCTCAATCAGGTCCTTTATGGTGGACAGATCCACTTTCCCATCATTCTTCTTCCCAGCAAACCAAAATGAAAAAGACCCCCCCAAAAAATCAGACAAGACAAGTTACTGGAACAGTTTCCTCCATAGAAAATTTGCTGTCCTGATTTCTCATCAAAGCCATTAAGGTGGCCCCAGTCCACCCCCCACAGAATAATACTCAGCCCATTCCATTTGTCTGTTTTGCATTCCCTCTAGGGTTCCTAAAAAGGGGTAAGCCAGGTGTCTCACTCACATCTTACGTACATAGTACAGTTTATATACAGTGTACATACACATACATCCACACTCTCTCGGTGTTTCAAAGCAAATGGGTTAAGGCCAAGTTCCTGCAATTTCCCTAAGAGCTGCATTCACTCCAAATCATGACAATAGTCATTAGAGCTTCCCACACCATCACAAGTGTGTGAGACAGATGGGTGACCAACCTGCTGCACTTTGGAGACAGCAGTTGGATTGCTACACTGAGTCAGAAAGAAGAAGCTGGGAGAAGCCAGATTCTCAATACACACACACACCACACAATTACGATTTATGGGATTGGAGGGATTAAAAAAGAAATGCTGTAGGGAGCACAAGTGCACCAGAGTCCACTTCATTAAGCGGTTAATATTGTGGGTTGTGCCTGCACTAACTTTTTTCAAAAAGCAACAGAGGGTCCTGTGGCACCTTTAAGACTAACAGAAGTATTGGAGCATAAGCTTTCGTGGGTGAATGCCCACTTCATCAGCCTTGCGTCTGATGAAGTGGGCATT